TTGATCACAATTCCCACAGAAAAGGGAAACGTTGATAGTGTTAACTAACGGGGGAAATCTCTAGAAAGTTGAGTGAAGTTCAATCTGGTGCTTCTCTGCGCAGGCTGTGTGGCAGTCCTAGGGAGTGGTGCGCCCGCCTATGCGCACAGTTTAGAGGGAACGTTGGTTTTGGGTATGCTTGTCATCGGCAAGGACTAGGGATTTTTTTTTTTTTTAGGATAAAATGGAATGAAGCTTAGCACAGGCAAAATCTTAGAGGAAAACCTGGTTTTCTGCTTTCTAACAGACACTGGGAGACACATTCACCTTTCAGCAGGACAATAACGTAAAACACAAGGCCAAATATACACGAGTTGCTTACCAGAGGTGGGAGAGCAATAGAGGAAGCAGAGGTAATGCTTGATTCTGTTGGCGCGAGTGAAGCTAGAGGAAAGGAGTGGAATATTGTAACATCTAAAAATGGAGCTAAAAGGCCTAAAGCTTTAAATCAAGATAAGCCTCGGTATGATAACGCCTCATTCCTTGTTGGAGTGCGATTCATGAGCAAGGATGTTTTTTGGGGGGGAAACCAGTTTGCGGTCACAAAGATGGTGAAGGATGCATTGGGAGAAGTGGAGTCAGTCAGAGTGACCAGGAGTGGTGTGATGTTGATTTCATGTGTGTCAAAAGGAGAAAGCACTGTGGATGTACAAATTATCAACGTGTGAAGTGGAATGTTATGATCATCGGAGTAGGGCACCGATAAAAGGTGTCATCTGGCGTCTCGATGGATATTGAGGCTTCATGGTTTAAGATGAACATGCCAGTAATAGTTGATTCACGTCGCTTAACCCGCACTGTGAATGGAAAGGATGAGGGAAGGCTTTCTGTATTATTGATGTTTGATGAAGAAGTTCTCCCGACCCATGGAAAGCTGGGATATATGAAATATGCGGTGGGAGCTTATGTACAAAAGCAACTTCAATTTCATAAATGTAAAGTTTTGATGACGTGTCAAGTGTTTACAAACGGCATATCATTGTTGAAGAGTCTGAGGATGCACGGTGTTGCAATTGTGATGGGAATCAGGTTCCAGAGTTCCCAGAGTTCCCTGTTTGGGTGAAGGGAGTCAAAGTAGAAAGGATCAGGGCTGTCGAGAAGGTGACCAGAGGCAGTGAAAACTGTCGAAGCAGCGAGTAGAGATGATGAAGCTATGGCAGAGGATGATGCCCAACAGTCTGTGGATGACAGTCAGTTGAGAGATCCTGAAATATTAATCGTGAAGAAGGTGGATTTTGTTGCGTTTATTGCGGGGGTGATTAATTGTACAGGACAAACTAACAAAAAATCTAAGAAATTGGAAATCATTGTGAAAGCGGCTAAAAGTTATTGGGTCTCCAGGATTTCACGGCTGAGACTTTGCAGGGAATACTGTCTGAGGATGCTTCCCCCTCTCAGGCCCCAGAGCCTGTGTAGGGATCTGAGTACATTTTACCAAGTGATGGAGGACATGGACTTTTGTAGGGATCTGAGTACATTTTACCAAGTGAAGGAGGACATGGACTTTTGTTTATTTTTTTGAGAATAATATGTATATTTTTTTGTTGTTAAAGTATCTCTGTTTTTACCCCACCCAGTAGGTGGCGGCAATACACCTTTTGGGATGTAGTACGCCAATAAAACCTTGAAGAAGAAGAAGAAGAATATACAGCTGTGGAAAAAATTAAGAGACCACTGCAAATTTTTCTTAAATCAGCATCTCTACATGTATGACAGTCATTCCATTCCAGTGTCTGTTGAATTCCAACACAGGCACACCTCATTCTACTGAATTAGGTACTGATTAGTTGATCACCTGAACCAAATCTTATTTAGCGAGGAAAAGTATAAAAACCACTGCTGTTGTCATCACTATCCTCTTGTAATAGGACCAGCTGGATGGCAAAAACAGTGCTAATAGTACCTCAAAAGTAATATTAATCAAAAAATAACTATTGACCATGCCAAAAGAGTTGAAAAGGAAAGTTTTGAGTGAGGAAAATAAGGGGTCAATTCTGGCTTTACTGGCAGAGGGTTGCTTCCATCCTTAAAATGTCAAAGATGGCGGTTCATAAGAACAAGGTCAAGCAGCAGACATTGGGGACAACAAAGCTACAGATCGGCAGAGGGCGAAAACGACTCTCTACTGACCGGGATGACCGCCAACTCATTCGAATGTCACTCAACAACCGTAGGATGACATCAAGTGACCTACAAAAAGAATGGCAAACGGCAGCTGGAGTGAAGTGCATGGCGAGGACGGTTCGAAACAGGCTCCTAGGGGCAGGGCTGAAGTCGTGCAAAGCTTGAAAAAAGCCCTTCATCAATGAGAAGCAAAGATGAGCCAGGCTGAGGTTTGCAAAAGACCATAAGGATTGGACCGTAGAGGACTGGAGTAAGGTCATCATCTCTGATGAGTCCAATTTTCAGCTTTGCCCAACACCTGGTCGTCTAATGGTTAGACGGAGGCCTACAAGCCACAGTGTCTCGCACCCACTGTGAAATTTGGTGGAGGATCGGTGATGATCTGGGGGTGCTTCAGCAAGGCTGGAATCGGGCAGATTTGTCTTTGTGAAGGACGCATGAATCAAGCCACGTACAAGGTTGTCCTGGAAGAAGACTTGCTTCCTTTTGCTCTGACATTGTTCCCCAACTCTGAGGATTGGTTTTTCCAGCAGGACAATGCGCCATGCCACACAGCCAGGTCAATCAAGGTGTGGATGGAGGACCACCTGATCAAGACCCTGTCATGGCCAGCCCAATCTCCAGACCTGAACCCCATTGAAAACTTCTGGAATGTGATCAAGAGGAAGATGGATGGTCACAAGCCATCAAACAAAGCCGAGCTGCTTGAATTTTTGCGCCAGGAGTGGCATAAAGTCACCCAATATCAATGTGAAAGACTGGTGGAGAGCATGCCAAGACGCATGAAAGCTGTGATTGAAAATCAGGTTATTCCACCAAATATTGATTTCTGAACTCTTCCTAAGTTAAAACATGACTATTGTGTTGTTTAAAAATTAACATGAACTTATTTTCTTTGCATTATTCGAGGTCTGACAACACTGCGTCTTTTTTGTTATTTTGACCAGTTGTCATTTTCTGCAAATAAATGCTCTAAATGACAATATTTTTATTTGGAATTTGGGAGAAATGTTGTCAGTAGATTATAGAATAAAACAAAAATGTTATTTTTACCCAAACACATACCTATAAATAGTAAAACCAGAGAAACTGATAATTTTGCAGTGGTCTCTTAATTTTTTCCGCAGCTGTATGTATATTTTTAAAATGAGTTAGAGATTATAGAGCTAAATTTACATTTACGTTACATTTTAGTCATTTAGCAGACGCTCTTATCCAGAGCGACTTACAGTTAGTGAATACATATTTTTGTTTATACTGGCCCCCCGTGGGAATCGAACCCACAACCCTGTGCTTAGCTCCTAAATAGAATGGAGCTAAGCACAGGCAAAATCCTAGAGGGAAACCTGGTTCAGATTCACCTTTCAGCATGACAATAACCTAAAACACAAAGCCAAATCTACACGGGAGTTGCTTTCCAAGACAACATTGAAGGTTCCTGAGTGGTCTAGTTACAGTTTTGACTTAAATCGGCATGTAAATCTATTGCAAGACTTGAAAATGGCTGTCTAGCAATGATCAACAACCAACTTGACAGAGCTTGAAGAATTTTTTAAAGAGTAATATGCAAATATTGTACAATCCAGGTGTGCAAAGCTCTTACAGACTTACCCAGAAAGACTCACAGCTGTAATCACTTCCAATGGTGATTCTATTCCACTCTGTATTGACTCAGTGGTGTGAATACTTATGTAAAGGAAGAGGGCACGACAACACCTTTTCCCCCTCAGGAGACTGAAATGATTTGGCATGGGTCCCCAGATTCTCAAAAAGTTTTACAGCTGCACCATCGAGAGCATCTTGACTGGTTGCATCACCGCCTGGTATGGCAACTGCTCGGCATCCGACCGCAAGGCGCTACAGAGGGTAGTGCGTACGGCCCAGTACATCACTGGGGCCAAGTTTACTGCCATCCAGGACCTATATACTAGGCGGTGTCAGAGGAAGGCCCCAAAAAATGTCTGACTCCAGTCACCCAAGTCATAGACTGTTCTCTCTGCTACCGCACGGCAAGCGGTACCGGAGCGCCAAGTCTAGGACCAAAAGGCTCCTTAACAGCTTCTACCCCCAAGCCATAAGACTGCTGAACAATTAATAAAATGGCCACCCAGACTATTTACATGGACCCCCCCCCTCCATTTGTTTTTACGCTGCTGCTACCCGCTGTCTATTATCTATGTATAGTCACTTTACCCCTGCCTACATGTACAAATTACCTCCACTAACCTTTACCCCTGCACATTGACTCGGTACCGGTACCCCCTGTATATAGCCTCGTTATTGTTATTTTATTGTGTTACTTTTATTTTGTTTTTTTAGTTATTTTATTTAGTAAACATTTTCTTAACTCTTTCTTGAACTGCATTGTTGGTTAAGGTAAGTAAGCATTTCACTGTAAGGTTTACACCTGGTGTATTCGGCGCATGTGACAAATAAAATGTGATTTGATTTGATTTGAAATGAGATATTTCTGTATTTCATTTTCAATACATTGACAAAAATGTCTAAAAACATGTTTTCACTTTGTTTTCATTATGGGTATTGTGTGTTGATGGTTGAGGAAAACATATATTTAATCAATTTTGAATTCAAGCTATAACACAACAAAATGTGGACAAGGGGTATGAATAATTTCTGAAGTCACTGCAAATGTGGCTGGTTGAAGCAAGTCACAACATTTTTCTTCAGCAAAATTACCATACTGTTTTGAAAAAAGTATACATATTTATTCAGTACTTTCATCAACCAAGCCCAGTACAGATACAGCAGCCGACATACGGAGAGGCGAGACAATCTTTGCTGAACTGAAAATATTGCTACACACAGCTGCATGTTAAATCAGGATACTGACCGCGGTGGTGTTTGATACCATGTCGGCCACCGTAGAAGAGGATAACATATCCATGATTACGTTGGGAGTGCCCGGTGGATTTCTTCATCATTTGTAGCTAGAAAGATTTATTATAATTAATTCCGACGTAAGTATTATATATTTTTATACGCAGATATGGGGGTACTAACAATATAGTGTTATAATACAAGTATTCTAGCATTTAGCTAGCTTGCTAGACGTATAAACTGAACGACACGTCTGCACGATTTAACTGTCAAGCTAGCAGTAGCTCTAACAGCAGCCAATGACACGTAGCGGTAACTAGCTAAAGAAACTGGTTGAACCAGGGATGGTTTAGGTAATGTTGGTTGAACTACTAGCTATCTAGCTAACATTCTAGAATATATACATTACGGCGAAGAAAAGCCGTTAGCAGATGTGTGTTGCTAGGTAACCAAATGACGAATGTTAGCTAGCTTGCTAAAGTTTTCTCATCACCCAGCAGTAGCTATCTAGCTAACGGTACGCTCGCTTCTCGTGTTGGTGATTCATGAGACGTGCTTGAAATTGATTCTTCTAACGTTAGTAAATAATGTGTCAGGTGATTAACCATCCCTACACGTGTCTTAGCTAGCTAACGCCCTACAATATATTTTGTTTGATTATTCAGAAACGATTAACTTTTTAATATATTTTTATGTAGCTAGCTCATAGTGTTTAGAAATTGGCTAGCCCCATAAGACATCCATTACTGCCCAATGCAATGGGTCTACCTGGGGTGTATTCATTACGTCTTACAACGGAAACCGTTTACCGTTGAAGAACCAAACGGAGAGAGCGACCTACCTTAATTTGTCCAATAGAAACTCGTTTTCGTTGCAAAACTCTTTCCGTTCAGAGTAAACGGTTGTATTACAGACGAAACGTTTTGCAACAGAATCGGCATAATTAATACACTCCAGGGGTCATAACGTCAGGGGTGTGTTCAGTATGGCAAAACTGTTCATTTTCGAAATGTTTTGGTTATGTTCAACGTTTCATTCAATGGAAACGGTACTGTGCTGAACGACCATTTGAAGAACGGTGTGATTATGGTGGCTCAGAGGGCTATTGTCTATGGTGCAATTAGCTACAAATGGTCACACTGGTCAATATATATCTCAATGTGTCACACCCATATTGATCAGGGCACACCCACCAAACGGGAGTGAACATACCTCAAAAGCTGTTGAAGAATGGTGCGCACCGTTTTGGGGGAAACATGTCATTCAGTAGTAACCGTCACACAATGTAGCAAACGTTGAACCAAACTGAATGCACCCTAGTATTGAAACATCATTAAAAGTGCTTGTTTTCCATTCTTTAGGACTTTGATAGAGGCATCCTAGCCCAATAGAGGAAGATGAGGCTGAAAGAGATCCAGAGGACGGCTCATCCAGCATGGAGTCCTGCCCCCCACCACCCTATCTGCCTGGCCTTAGGTAGGGCACAAATGTTACCTGTATCAGACCTGTCCTGCACTAACCCTAACCCTTCTACCTGACCTTAGGTAGGGCACAAATGTTACCTGTATCAGGCCTGTCCATACCTGTCCTGCACTAACCCTAACCCTTCCACCTGACCTTAGGTAGGGTAGAACGTTTTGTGTATCAGGCCTGTCATGCACTTATACAGTAGATGGTTCCAGATGTTTACGCAGTCTTGCCAGTAGCCTCCCAGATCTGTTTATGCTATCTTGCCAACTTGCCTAACTTGGCAAGCGCGCATAAACAGATTTGGGAGCAGGCTGCTAACACAGGAGTGATGTAACCAATGATAACAGGCTTCACTTTTAATGCCGAATAACATACTCTTGAGGTCTTGTGATTTATGGGATTTCATTCTTGGTCTTATTGTTTTTGTTGACTAACAGGCACATCAGCGCAGCAGTTGGACGCGTCATTCAACACCGCTGCCGCCCTGGAAATATTCCAGGTGGATTTTGCCGATCCTTCCCTGGACATGAAACTCAAGGGGTCCCTACCTACTTCTAACAGGTAAAGCAACAAAATGAGCCAGGGAGAAGTAGCTGCTAACCCAATACTACATACGAGTCATCAAGTTCATATGTTATTGTATCAATACATATGATTCAACCATTCTGTCCCCTAGGCTGCATAGTCTGGTGTGGGTAAACTTTGGAGCAGGAGAAGACGGTTTGGGAGGGAGACTGATTGGAGGCAGTGATAATGGCATGGTGACGGTGTACAGCCCAGAAGCCATCGTAACATCAGGGGCAGAGGCAATAATAGGACAGTCTGACAAACACACTGGGCCTGTCAGAGCACTAGACTTCAACCCCTTTCAGGTAATAATGGGAGCAGCGAGTCAAGTCTTTGGCCAATTCTCACTTGTAGTTTGGCATGCAATTAAAATAGCTACTAAATTACATTAAATTAAGGTTTTAATATGAACACTTAAAGAATATGTTCAATACAATGTTCTGTACAGTATCATATTAAGGTTTTAATATGAACACTTAAAGAATATGTTCAATACAATGTTCTGTACAGTATCATATTCCCCACATGTATTTTTTGCTCATTTGAATGTGCTCTTTTTCAGAGTAATCTGTTGGCGTCAGGGGCAAACGATTCAGAGATCTACATCTGGGATCTGAACAATTTCAGCAATCCAATGACACCTGGGACAAAGTCACAGGTAATGTCTTTTGGGGTAGTTTGTCCCATTCCACTGTATTTGTATTTCCATAGTATTTCTTCTCAAAATCAAAATGGTGGGTATTCCAGATGATGAAATCCCTGTAATGAGTCTTTAATTTCATTTTGAACAGTTTTCTCCATGTTTCCCTCTTTGTAGCTCTGTGAGGTAAGAGTGAAAGCCAGTGTGTGGTTAGTGTCTGGTGTGTGGTGGCTTTAACATGTGTGGGCTGGTGGGAATGTTGAATAACCTGAAACTTCCCCCTATCAAGAGATTACTGAAGTCTCTAAAGAAATAGCGTGTGCATTTCTATGATGATAGTCTTCCACAGTGTGGCAGTGTTGGGTATTTTTGGCTTTGCTTTTTGATGTGTAATAACACTTTTTTGTTAATGTCTAAAATGTGTGCCGGGATATTCTCCAATCAGTAATTCCTAGAGGAATATCTATATTTATAACAATGTTGCTCCTCCTCTCCCCATCCACCTAGCCTCCTGAAGATATCAGTGTCGTGTCCTGGAACCAACAGGTCCAACACATCCTGGCCTCTGCCAACCCCAGTGGGAAAGCAGTGGTCTGGGACCTGAGGAAGAACGAGCCCATCATCAAGATTAGTGACCACAGCAACAGGGTATGTACAGTAGATTAGTGACTACAGCAACAGGGTGAGGACAGTAGATTAGTGACCACAGCAACAGGGTGAGGACAGTAGATTAGTGACCACAGCAACAGGGTATGTACAGTAGATTAGTGACCACAGCAACAGGGTGAGGACAGTAGATTAGTGACCACAGCAACAGGGTGAGGACAGTAGATTAGTGACCACAGCAACAGGGTGAGGACAGTAGATTAGTGACCACAGCAACAGGGTGAGGACAGTAGATTAGTGACCACAGCAACAGGGTGAGGACAGTAGATTAGTGACCACAGCAACAGGGTGAGGACAGTAGATTAGTGACCACAGCAACAGGGTGAGGACAGTAGATTAGTGACCACAGCAACAGGGTGAGGACAGTAGATTAGTGACCACAGCAACAGGGTGAGGACAGTAGATTAGTGACCACAGCAACAGGGTGTGGACAGTAGATTAGTGACCACAGCAACAGGGCGAGGACAGTAGATTAGTGACCACAGCAACAGGGTGAGGACAGTAGATTAGTGACCACAGCAACAGGGTGAGGACAGTAGATTAGTGACCACAGCAACAGGTGAGGACAGTAGATTAGTGACCACAGCAACAGGGTGAGGACAGTAGATTAGTGACCACAGCAACAGGGTGAGGACAGTAGATTAGTGACCACAGCAACAGGGCGAGGACAGTAGATTAGTGACCACAGCAACAGGGTGAGGACAGTAGATTAGTGACCACAGCAACAGGGCTGAGGACAGTAGATTAGTGACCACAGCAACAGGGCGAGGACAGTAGATTAGTGACCACAGCAACAGGGTGAGGACAGTAGATTAGTGACCACAGCAACAGGGTGAGGACAGTAGATTAGTGACCACAGCAACAGGGCGAGGACAGTAGATTAGTGACCACAGCAACAGGGCGAGGACAGTAGATTAGTGACCACAGCAACAGGGTCGAGGACAGTAGATTAGTGACCACAGCAACAGGGTGAGGACAGTAGATTAGTGACCACAGCAACAGGGTGAGGACAGTAGATTAGTGACCACAGCAACAGGGTGGGACAGTAGATTAGTGACCACAGCAACAGGGTGGGACAGTAGATTAGTGACCACAGCAACAGGGTGAGGACAGTAGATTAGTGACCACAGCAACAGGGTGAGGACAGTAGATTAGTGACCACAGCAACAGGTGGGACAGTAGATTAGTGACCACAGCAACAGGTGAGGACAGTAGATTAGTGACCACAGCACAGGGTTGGACAGTAATTAGTGACCACAGCAACAGGTGAGGACAGTAGATTAGTGACCACAGCAACAGGGTGAGGACAGTAGATTAGTGACCACAGCAACAGGGTGAGGACAGTAGATTAGTGACTACAGCAACAGGGTGAGGACAGTAGATTAGTGACTACAGCAACAGGGTGAGGACAGTAGATTAGTGACTACAGCAACAGGGTGAGGACAGTATATTAGTGACCACAGCAACAGGGTGAGGACAGTAGATTAGTGACCATAGCAACAGGGCGAGGACAGTAGATTAGTGACTACAATGCAAGAAGATACCGGTAGCCTACAAAGCTGGAAGCTAACTGTCCTTGCTAGCTTACTGCTGAAACTAACATACATTCACTACCTAGTACCTTGTTTGTGATTAATATGCAAACCATAACGCTAAATATTGCTGATTTCAGAGCTGATTGTCACCAAAAACGTTATTCATTCAATTCATCTCCCTTGCCTCTTGTCTCTCACCAGTCGAGATCATCTTTGCCCAAGCCTGGAGCTATATGTGTGAATGAGGTCATTGGTCTTAAAGAGACAGCGCACACTTTTATAAAATAAGAGATTGCTTCTTCTATGCAAATGCTGTTGATCAGTACAATAAAATATGTCTTGAATGGAAACAGATCGTTTTTCATCTGTAGCCCCATGAAATCAACCAAAACAAGCTCAATAACGCAATGCATTTGCACACTCTTATTGAATATGCGTTCACCTGTATTGTGAATAGGCCTAGGCTACACCTTGATTTACCCAGTTTATCAATAAAGATTTACCATTTAAATAAATGATTACCGTTATGTAGTTAGATCTGTAAAAAAACAAAGTCAAATTGATTAATTAATGCATACATTAAAAACTCTTAACATTTCAAATGCAAAGATATTGAACTCAAAAGATCTGTCTGGATCAAGTGCCATTCTGTGACTTTGGCTAATACGGCTTATTTTTTTTGCCGTGGTATCGTTTTGATATGGAGTATCGTGATACTAAACCTGGTATCGGTATCGAAGTCAAAGTTCTGGTATCGTGACAGCACTACAGTACATGGTGTTTTGAGTGTCTATTCTGGTATCGTGACAACACTACAGTACATGGTGTGTTGAGTGTCTATTCTGGTATCTCAACCTGTATGGTTGTGTGGTCCTGTGTGACTGTTGGCCAGAGGTTGTGAGTTCAATTCCTGCAGAGATCACATACACAAAACCCATAGGCCTATGTGCACTCACTGTTACTGTAATGCAACTCACTGTTACTGTAATGCAACTCACTGTTACTGTAATGCAACTCACTGTTACTGTAATGCAACTTACTGTAATGGAAGTCGCTTTGGATGAAAGCATCTGCTAGATGACATATATTATGTGGGTTGAAGAGCTTCTGACGATATCTATCTCTCTACGATTGTAGTGTGTCTGATGTGGTGTTGGTTTGTGTTGTAGATGCACTGTTCAGGGATGCTCTGGCACCCTGAGGTGGCCACACAGTTGGTCCTGGCCTCCGAAGATGACCGCATGCCAGTTATTCAGATGTGGGACCTGCGCTTCGCCACGTCCCCTCTCAAAGTTCTGGAGAACCACACAAGGTGAGCCTTTTGGACATTATGCCACATGGGTTTACATGGAGCTGTTATGTATGATGGTGATATGGTCTCTGTTATGGCAGGTGCAGCTAAATGCTTAATGTTTCAGTAATATCTATGCACCAATTTGTAAGTCGCTCTGGATAAGAGCGTCTGCTAAATGACGTAAATGTAAATGTAACAATAGTAATCTCCACACATAATCCAACGTTTCTTTCTTTTTTAATGCATTGGTGATGTGCTGCTGTAATTGTCTGAATGTCATTTGTTGTGTTTTTATTGGTGTTGTATGTATTAGGTGGCGCAGTCACATTTCCCTTTTGGGGATTAATAAAATACAATTAGATTTTATAGCTAGGCTGTTGTTGTGTTTTCATAGTTGAAGTTCAAAGAGAAAAAGCCTTGACTGTAGGTGATGATGGCTTCATGTTTTTCGTCCTCAGGGGACTTCTGTCCATAGCGTGGAGCCAAGCAGACCCAGAGCTGTTGCTCAGTAGTGCTAAAGATAACAGGATCCTCTGCTGGAATCCAAACACTGGAGAGGTACCTGGTTTTCTGATCTGTTTGAAAGGCCTCATCACACCATGTGGTGTATATGGCCTCCACAAACAAAGTTCCGCCGTCTTTCCCTGCCCAGGGCTTCTTCACATGCCTCTGGTGTCCAGGTGATCTGTCTCTAGATCTTTTCTAAATCGTCTCACATTGTTATGGTGATCCAATCTCTCTCCCGTCTCTCTAGGTGATCTATGAGTTACCAACAACCAACCAGTGGTGCTTTGACATCCAGTGGTGCCCCAGGAACCCAGGGCTGCTGTCGGCAGCCTCGTTTGACGGGTGGATCAGTGTCTACAGCGTGATGGGAGGAAGCCTGGAGGCCCAGCAGCAGAGAAGGGCTGATCAGGTAGAGAGTCTCCATCTGTGTTACAGCTCTACATCCACTGTGGCCATGTCTATTTACTGTCTAAAGGAAAACACCCACAATCCAGGGCTGCCACTAAGTCGCTGTGGATAAGAGTGTCTGCTGAATGACTAAAATGTCAAAGGCTCCCTATTTCCTATCTAGTGCACTACTTTTGACCAGGGGTATGGAATAGATGCGATTTGATTGTCTTAACATTTTGGCAGAGTCTGGTGTGTAGCCTAGCTTTAAATGTGGTTGCTACTGCTGCTATAATGGTAGGACATGGCTGTAGATCCCCCCCCTCATTAAAGAGCTCTGCTCATCTATCTTACCTTTAAATAATATTTAGATTGGAATGCAGTCCATGTGTGGTACTTTCCCACAGATCTCCTCGTCCTTTGACACCATGGATCCGTTTGGGACGGGCCAGGTGCTGCCCCCTCTGCAGGTTCCCCAACCCAGCCCTCAGACCACCCTCGTCGCTCCGCTGAAGAAGCCCCCCAAGTGGGTGCGCAGGCCCGTAGGAGCCTCATTCGCTGTAAGTGCAATGTACTTATATGTTTTTTGTATGTCCGTTTTTGTATTTCTGAAGGTAAATAACGTAAGTAGATGCCTATTGTGAGGAACCCCAATATGTTTAAGCAGTAAGGCATGAGAACCTGTGGATTATGGAGGAAACTCACGGTTAATGTGTATTCTTAGTCATGACGTAAAGAGTTACTCTTCGGTGACGCTCTACTTATAAAGGGGCCAAACGTGCTCGTGACAAGTCTTACAATGTATTATAACTGCATCATGGTAATACTACATTCCCCCCCCCCCCCCCCCCCCCCCATCTCTTCTCCTTGTAGTTTGGTGGGAAGCTGATCACATTTGGGAGCCCTAAGCCTCCAGTCCAGAGCCCACAGCCCGTCCCTGTCCCCAGGCAGGTGTTTGTGAGCCAGGTCACCACGGAAACAGAGTTCCTCCAGCGCTCCAGAGAGCTGCAGGCTGCTCTGCAGTCCGGCTCCTTGTCAGACTACTGCCAGGCCAAGATCCACAAGGCCCCAACAGACTCTGAACAGGACATATGGAGGTTTCTCCTGGTAGGTGTTATGACACTTAACAGTGGCATGAAAGGTTCATTTTAAAGGGATAATGGGAGATTTTGGCAATTAAGCAACTTTTCTACTTACCAAGGGTCAGATGAACTCATGGATACCATTTTAGCATGCTAACAGTTCCAGTAGACTTCCAGTCATTGCACTAACGTTAGTTAGCAATGGCTCTCGAAACTACCTTTTTAACTTCCTTCAAAACTGCATGCAGAGACAAAAATGGTATCCGTGAGATCATATGACTCTGGGTAAGTAGAAAAGGGGTTTCATTGCTGAAATCTCACACTGTCCCCATAATGTTACATTGTTTGACCCTGGGGTACGTTTACGTCCCCCCCCCCCCCCCCCCCCCCATTGTTCAGATAACGTTGTGATTAAAAGAGTACAGTTATCTGTGACATCTGTGGTCCGGCGTATCCTTCACACTGAACAGTAGTAGGACTCACAGAACACCTCTGGAGATGACACGTTGCATGAACAGTAGACTTCTCTTTACGATGGATTTGGAAAGAAACAGCCATGACCAATATATTGTCAATGATGAACACAAGTTCTGCAAGGGCTGTTTTTATGTTTGTGATGTTATCCACCTCCTGACGTTTGCAGGTCAACTTTGAAGACGAAGCCCGGGTCAAATTCCTGAGACTTCTGGGTTTCAGCAAAGAGGAGTTGGAGAGAAAGATATCCACCTGCTTGGGGAAGAACCTGCAGCCTAACGGACATGGAGTGGATGCCAACGATCTGGCTGAGAAGATACAGCTTCTGTCTACTCAGGTCAGACCAGGAACATGCCTCTACATAGCCCTGCTACATAGTCCATTCTCTTCATAGTACTCCTAATTCTAGTCCAGACGGCATTTCTTCCACAGTCCACCAGAGGGCAGTGACGGGTATCAGAAGTGACGTGTGGTCTCTTTTCATAACAAAATGAATCCTGTCAGATGACTCTGTTAAAATGTCCCCTTTAGTGTTTACAGATAACATGTATATTACCAGCACCAACCTTCCATCAAAGTGAATTGTTCTTGTTTGTTTTTCCAGAGGTCAGAAGAGTCCGGTGATGCAGTCGACTCCACCAAGACCCCTGGTTCATCCTCCCCCTCAGACTTTTTCAGTCACATCCCACCACCACCACAGGACAAGGAGAAGATCAGCTTCCAAATCCCTGTCTCAGCAGGTACTGCTTGCCTTCTGTTCAGTATCACAGCTCTCTCTTCCTGTGAAATCTAAACAGTATGGACTGGTTTCCCGGACACAGATAAAAAAAAAAAAAGCATGTTCAATGTAAAACCTTTTTTAGTCCAGGATTAGCCTTAATATGAATCTGTGTCCTGGTAACTGGCCCTTTGTATGAATGTCACTCTCCGTATCTCATTCAGTGGTTTATGCCTCTGTTGTTGCAGATGCAGACGGTCTGATCAGCCAGGCTCTGCTGGTGGGTAACTTTGAGGGAGCGGTGGATCTGTGTCTGTACGACGGCCGCTACGCTGAGGCCATCCTGCTGGCTATCAGTGGAGGAGAGGAGCTACTGCAGAAGACCCAGCAGACATACCTGGACAAGCAGAGGAACAGCATCTCCATGGTAAGACAGGGGACATACCTGGACAAGCATCTCCATGGTAAGACAGGGGACATACCTGGACAAGCATCTCTATGGTAACACAGGGGACATACCTGGACAAGCATCTCCATGGTAAGACAGGGGACGTACCTGGACAAGCATCTCCATGGTAAGACAGGGGACATACCTGGACAAGCATCTCCATGGTAAGACAGGGGACATACCTGGACAAGCATCTCCATGGTAAGACAGGGGACATACCTGGACAAGCATCTCCATGGTAAGACAGGGGACATACCTGGACAAGCAGAGGAACAGCATCTCCATGGTAAGACAGGGGACATACCTGGACAAGCATCTCCATGGTAAGACAGGGGACTTACCTGGACAAGCATCTCTATGGTAAGACAGGGGACATACCTGGACAAGCATCTCCATGGTAAGACAGGGGACATACCTGGACAAGCATCTCCGTGGTCAGACAGGGGACTTTTAAACTATGTCTCAAATGGCACCCTATTCCCTGTCTAGTGCACTACCTTTGACCAGGGCCCAGTTGGGACATACCCTCAGGGCTATCTGATTATATTATATTTGTATGACTTGATTACTAGCTAGCAAAGTTTAGTTTAGTTCAGAATATAGTTATTTTATATCAACTGAGTCAACGTCAATAAATACAACATGGTTGTTAAGTCTACAACATGTTAAGTCTACAACATGTTAAGTCTACAGCATGTTAAGTCTACAACATGTTAAGTCTACTTTCCATCTCTCCTCAGCTGATCTCATCCGTGGTGACCCAGAACTGGGGAGACATCGTGCAGAGCTGTGAGTTGGATAACTGGAAGGAGGCTCTCGCTGCTCTCCTAACCTACGCTCACCCCAACGAGTTTGCTCATCTGTGTGGTAAGGACACCAAGATGTTGAGGATTGTAGCAAAGGAATCAGTAAACTCCGACTTGCTTTTTACCTTGGGTTCAGCACTTATTTATGCAGTGACTAAAAATCTATTTCACAAGAGAGGCCTGATTGTTCCTGATTGGCTCTTCTCCTTCCTATTCCTAAACCCCACCCCCCTTTCTCCTGGTAGCACTGGAACTGATCTCTATGCTATGTAGCGTTTGTCATGACTATATCTGTTGTATGGTTGGTATTGTCTGATGCTGTTTCTTACCCCTGACTGCTAGAGACCCTGGGGTCGCGTCTGGAGGGTGACGGGACAGAGAAACGCTGTCTGCAGGCATGTCTCTGTTACATCTGCTATCTAACCTCTCCTTCTCTTCCCCCTCCCTCCCTCTCCCTCGCTCTCCCTCTCCTGGTACTGTAGACACCCTGGGGTCACGTCTGGAGGGTGAGGGGACAGAGAAACGCTGTCTGCAGGCATGTCTCTGTTACATCTGCTCTGGGAACATTGAGAAACTAGTGGAATGCTGGGCCCTGCAGAGGGACTGCTCCTCTCCTCTGGTTCTAGAGGTAATAAATAGTTTTATCTATATATTTGTCCTTTATTTAACCATGGAAGTCACGTTTCCAAGTGAACCCTGGTGTTATAACATGATGACGTGATCCGATAACTGGCCAATTTGGTTGCATTCCTTCCAACCAGATACTGTCTGTAATGACATCGTAGGAACCGGGTAGTAACATTATGCCGTGTGTGTGATTGACTGCCAGGACATGGTGGAGAAGGTGATGGTCCTGCGTAAGTCTATTGAGCGTCTGAGGAGCAGTGAGGTGGCGCTACAGAGTCCTGTCCTGGCTGACAAGCTGACTCACTATGCTGGTCTCCTGGCCTCACAGGGCAGCCTGGTTACAGCAATGTCCTACCTGCCAGACGCCTCAGACCAGGTAAGCACAACCCACACTACTCTTCAGATTCCCTTATCAACAAGGAAATATTTCATCATGTCATTACGCTTCGAAGACGCCCGCATGTTTTCTCTCTCCTGGATTGTGTTCAGACCTGCATTTAATATGTACTACGTATGGAACTAATGTTGTTGTCCAGAAAGTTCATTTCCCGCCCATCTGGTACTCCAGAGGGATGTACAACAAAGCAGGATCAATGAGTTAGACAGCTTACTTCGATAAACAACCAGAAATTACTACTGATTTTAAAAAGCTAAACTTCCATGTGTTCTTGGTTGTTGAGTCAATTAGACCATGCCCATTTCAAGCTTATCTTAAAAAAAATAAAAAATAAAGATATGTTATTTCATAATATTAAGGCAAGTTAGCTGGCTAACTAAGATTTAAAGTGCTATTATAACTGAGGTAAGGGTTTTGTTCTGTGCTGTGTGTCCCTGCAGGCTTCCATCAGGATGATGAGAGACCGGCTGTTCCACGCCCAGGCTGAGGGAGCAGCAGGGGGCCAACAGCCCCCACCGTTCCCCTACAACGTAGTCAGTGTGACGGGGGGCCACCCTGCCCCCCCCCTCCCCAGCACAACCACCAGCACAGACAACACTGACGCCGGTATTTTAGGAATCAATGCTTGTTGTTTGACAAATTTTTGCCTCAGCCATGAGAGTGCAACAATACACAATAAAAATGATTTGAGGATTATAAAACACAATCAAGTAAACAGACTTATTTCCATTGATTTATACATTGATGAACGTAATCTCCACTTGAAGTGTCCATGATATCATAGCAGTTGCTAGAGTACATGTTGTGAAAAGTCAGCAGGCTTTAGGACGTTGTTATGATTTCATGTATGTTTCTGTCTCTGCGTAGCGCTCTACTTTTGAAGTGGTCCTCTATATAGGGAATAGGGTGGTCTTTCAGACGCAGACTGGGTATAAATGATGATGTTTCTCTCCAGGGGCCCCACCAGCCTCCTCTTCCTGTGATGCCAGTGGTTGGCCAGCCTCAGCCTCCTATGACTACAGTGTTCACTCCGCAAGCTGTTACTGCTCACTCCAGAGGACCACCTCCTCCTTCATATGGTGGTCTGCCACCCTCCTCCCATGGTCCTCCGCCTAGTGGTCTGCCACCCTCCTCCCATGGTCCTCCAGCTAGTGGGCTGCCACCCTCCTCCCATGGTCCTCCAGCTAGTGGTCTGCCACCCTCCTCCCATGGTCCACCTAGTGGTCTGCCACCCTCCTCCCATGGTCCTCCACCTAGTGGTCTGCCACGGACAGGGATACGGCCAGCCTACCCCCAGCATCCTGCCGCTGCCCCAGGTAGGCTCTCACCCTCAGTCCAGGACCGTGTTCAGTAGTCAGACGTTGTATCTGGATCTGACCTTGTGTATAGTGTGTTTACTTTACTTTATCTGTCTGCTAAATGGCTTATTATTATATTATATTATTATTATTATTATTATTATTATTATTTATCTTGTTCTTCTTATCTTATATCCTGTGTTTTTGTTCTACCTTATTTTTAGAACTACATTGATATTGATTACTGCATTGTTGGGTTTGGCGCTTGCAAGAAAGGCATTGCACTGTACTTGTGTACGTTACATTAAAACTTGAAACTGGTTTGTTCTACGTAATATATTTCTATCTGAAGGTAATATACAAGGCGGGCCCTGCTGAACCCGGTGCTACTCTGTCTACTCCAGATTGGTCTTGATGTAACATTTCTGTCTCCTGTCAACTCAGGGTTCTCTCCACTCCAGCCACAACAGCCCATGTGTGCAGGACTCTCTGCCTTCGCTCCAGGACCCACTATGCCAGGCTCCAGCCTGTCTGGACACCCCCCTGGCGGCCTCCCCACCATGCCCAGCCCAGGGCTTCCTCCTTCAGGCTTCAACCCCACCTCGCTCCCCTCAGGCCCCATGCCACCGAGCTACCAGCAGCCTGGGGCCCCCGTCGGCATGTACCCACCAGGGGGGTCTCACCTTCACAGCCAGGGCCCACCTGCAGGTCCCCCCTCTGGCCCATACCCACCCATGGGACCTGGGTACCCACAAGGAGGTCCTGGAGCCCCAGCCGTCAAGTCCTTCTCTGCTCCCTCGGTTGCTCCTCCTCCTACAGGTACTGACCATGATGCAATTGATGAGTTGAATCCCAAATACTCTCCTTTTCCTTATATAGTGCACTACTTTTGACCTGGGCTCATAGGTCAGTAGTGCACTATAAAGGGGAATGGGGTGCAATTTGGGACGTAGGTATTGACGTGTAACACCACTGTTTTTCTGTTATGAGCCAATACATCTTAAATAATCTTTATTAATTTATGCTTAAAGAAGGAATGGTAGTCAGAAATAGATGATTGTATGACACTTGTCTCTTTTTATAAATACTAAAACGTGTGTAGTGAGATTGGAGAAGTGAATTAGCACATGTTGTAATGTTAATTGATACATGCTTTTGATTGAGCTGTCCCCCCCTTGTTTAACTTTCAGGGTACTTCCCTTGGCTGAGTCCTCCCCTTGTTGACGATGATGCAGGTGATAGTGAGAGTGAGAGACAGGGCTAGGTTTGGATGTGCTGGGATAAGAGCGTGTTACTGAAAGGTGTTTGCTTGTGCCGTCACATGATCGTACAGGGACACGTAGAGCCGGTCTAGGGTTTATAACAAACCATTGTAACGATGTAGTGAAAGAATCCATGCTGGTGATTAGTACATGTAAACATAATACCTCATTTAATACCAAAGTATCTGTTGTTTTTAAGTTGATGATATTTGAATGCTAAAAATATCCATTACCACAGTATTAGGCTATGCCAAGTAGTGAAGATAATGCAACAACAATAATGTGTTATTATCGACAGTCCGTGTGTCCAATCTAACTGCACTTCGATGCTGCCTGGCCATGGCCTGCTACCTGTTGAAGTCACCTGTTTGTTGCTGCTCTAGTGGAAATACCTTCTTTTTTTTTTGAGTTGAAAGCGCTTTTAAGACTAATTTTGCGAAATAACCCTGCTCATCTTAATGTCACAGACCTTTCCATTTAACTCCATGGATCCCCAGGTCTATATAGGCTCTTGGCTTTGGCTGCTGTCTGGGTTCAGAAGTGTTCTTGTGGCTGACTATTCCTATTTCACTATCTATAGGACAAGACGGCTGGAATGACCCACCTGCAGTACGAGGGGGTCCCAGGAAGAAAAAGGTAACTCCTCTGGATGAATTACCTTCACACCGGGTTCCCTATCCTCTCTGACAACATGGACTAGCTCAGACTGGAGAAATCCGGACCAGTTCCAATTAGGAACCGACCCAGTCCAGGACCAGTAGACCATCTTGGAAATGTTAATAGCTACAGAGGCTTAAACATGCTTTAACCATCTTAGTTCTATGAGAACCAGTATTCAGTGAATATGTTCCCCAGATGTTGTAGACTGTATCTTTTGGTATTTCAATACTTACACATGTTTAAACACACATTAAGATCTTAGCTATATGTTAACCAGTATAAGGTGAATGTTTTTGTTGTCTGTGATTAACCTGGTAGTGTGTGAATCTGTGTTCTGTCTGTGCCTCAGGGTGTCCCAGAGAACTACACTCCTCCTGCTCCCATCACCGCCCCTGTTATGGGGGGTTTTCCCATGGAGGGCCCTCATCAGCCCCAAGGACAGCAGGGCCACGACCCCAGTCGCACCCAGCAGTTCCCCCCAGGGGCCCCTCAGGAGCCCAGCGTACAGGTCAGTGACAACCTAGTCTCGACCCCAGCCTTTCTATTTCTCCATGCCCAGTTCTGGAGCCAGAATACAGTGTGATGTCTGGTAGCATGAGACTAGTGCCAACCTAACCCAGTACTAACTGGCACAATTCAATACGGATCTGAAACATCAAGAGAGACCTGAAAGTATCAGTCTTCTCTAGTTCTCATCTCCCATTTACTTTCTTAATAAAGGCCTGGCAGGCTGACCACTAACCCCTAAAGTCAGGCTGCCATTTACTTTCTTATTAAAGGCCTGGCAGGGTGACCACTAACCCCTAAAGTCAGGCTGCCATTTACTTGCTTATTAAAGTCCTGGCAGGGTGACCACTAACCCCTAAAGTCAGGCTGCCATTTACTTGCTTATTAAAGGCCTGGCAGGGTGACCTCTAACCCCTAAAGTCAGGCTGCCATTTACTTGCTTATTAAAGGCCTGGCAGGGTGACCACTAACCCCTAAAGTCAGGCTGCCATTTACTTGCTTATTAAAGGCCTGGCAGAGTGACCTCTAACCCCTAAAGTCAGGCTGCCATTTACTTGCTTATTAAAGGCCTGGCAGGGTGACCTCTAACCCCTAAAGTCAGGCTGCCATTTACTTGCTTATTAAAGGCCTGGCAGGGTGACCACTAACCCCTAAAGTCAGGCTGCCAGACTCAAGTCTCCATTCGCTCTGCTTAAGGAAAAGGGTGGGATTGAGGTTAACTAACATCTGTATGCAAAATTCAAGAGAGACCTGAAACATAACATCTAGTTCTTAACTCCTATTCCCTCATAATAGGCTCTGGCAGGCTCCTAGAAATATATATCTATATATAGATGGGCAGATCTCTAACCCCTGTGGGCTCATAGAAATATCTATAGATAGGCAGATCTCTAACCCCTGTGGGCTCATAGAAATATCTATAGATGGGCAGTTCTCTAACCCCTGTGGGCTCATAGAAATATCTATAGATGGGCAGTTCTCTAACCCCTGTGGGCTCATATAAATATCTATAGATGGGCAGATCTCTAACCCCTGTGGGCTCATATAAATATCTATAGATGGGCAGATCTCTAACCCCTGTGGGCTCATAGAAATATATATAGATGGGCAGATCTCTAACCCCTGTGGGCTCATAGAAATATATATAGATAGGCAGATCTCTAACCCCTGTGGGCTCATAGAAATATCTATAGATGGGCAGATCTCTAACCCCTGTGTGTCCCTTCAGCTCCTCCAGGCGCTGCCGGCTGAGAGGGTGGAGCAGAGGGAGATCCCTGCAGAGCACATGGTCCTCAAACAGACCTTCGACAGCCTGGTTCAACGCTGCCAGCTAGCCGCACAAGATCCAGTAAGTCTTTACACAGGACAGTAGTATCAGGTCTTGTATATTGAAAAGCCAGGATTTCTACCCATCCATCTGCATAAGAAGCGGTAAGTCTTTACACACAGGGCCGTTCTGTATGTGCTCCTGTTGTAGTCTGACATCTAATATTCTATGTGTTATTTTCTCAGCAAACAAAAAGAAAACTTGACGATGCATCGAAACGCCTTGGGTACCTGTATGACAAGCTGAGAGAGCAAACGGTGAGAACATGTAGCAGATCGTTTACCACCAGGGGTCGCCTTAGAGTTCAGAAATCTGCTTTTTCAAAACGCAGACCTTCAAAAAACCATTTCACCTGCGTTTTACATTGAAAGTCAACTGTTTTTTTTTTTGCTTCAATAGCGTGATCAGGGACGTGCAACTATAGTTTTCCTTCACAGAAAATACATTAGTGCAACACATTCAGCAGAAATTGGCTTCATTTTCATCAGATGACAACAGAAGTGCAACGCTATTTGGCTGGCAGCCACACAAGTAAATGAGCTTACAATGAAAAGGCAAGGCATATTTTGGAAAATCGATGCATGGCCATCATATTTCGAATGTTTATCATAGAAAGAATGTAGCCAGCTACATTTCCCAATGTTTTGCTTGAAGTTAATCTTGCATTTTACCGTAAAAAGTCTTTAGTAGCTCCACATCAGTCAGAGCGCTATCTACTGATAGAATGCCTGTTCATGAAATTTCATCCCAGTGGAGAAGTGCAACTGAAGCACAAAATTAGTCTGATGCCGAGCAGAAATTACAATAAGAAGCATTTTACATCTGTCTTTACAAAACGCAACAAGATATTTCTTATGCGTTTTATTTAATTTTTCTGCGTGAAAATCACAGAATTCTGCATTAACGCGACCCCTGTACCATGATGTCAGTTAGTTCTCATTCTAACCCTGTCAAGGTAGTCCACTACATAACAGACCCAGTCAAGGTAGTCCACTACAGAACAGACCCAGTCTAGGTAGTCCACTAACAGACCCAGTCAAGGTAGTCCACTACATAACAGACACAGTCTAGGTAGTCCACTACATAACAGACCCAGTCTAGGTAGTCCACTACAGAACAGACCCAGTCAAGGTAGTCCACTACAGAACAGACCCAGTCTAGGTAGTCCACTACATAACAGACCCAGTCAAGGTAGTCCACTACAGAACAGACCCAGTCTAGATAGTCCACTACATAACAGACCCAGTCAAGGTAGTCCACTACATAACAGACCCAGTCTAGGTAGTCCACTAACAGACCCAGTCAAGGTAGTCCACTACATAACAGACCCAGTCAAGGTAGTCCACTAACAGACCCAGTCAAGGTAGTCCACTACAGAACAGACCCAGTCAAGGTAGTCCACTACATAACAGACCCAGTCTAGGTAGTCCACTAACTGACCCAGTCAAGGTAGTCCACTACAGAACAGACCCAGTCTAGGTAGTCCACTACAGAACAGACCCAGTCAAGGTAGTCCACTAACAGACCCAGTCAAGGTAGTCCATTACAGAACAGACCCAGTCAAGGTAGTCCACTACAGAACAGACCCAGTCTAGGTAGTCCACTACAGAACAGACCCAGTCAAGGTAGTCCACTACAGAACAGACCCAGTCAAGGTAGTCCACTACATAACAGACCCAGTCAAGGTAGTCCACTACATAACAGACCCAGTCTAGGTAGTCCACTACATAACAGACCCAGTCTAGGTAGTCCACTACAGAACAGACCCAGTCTAGGTAGTCCACTACAGAACAGACCCAGTCTAGGTAGTCCACTACAGAACAGACCCAGTCTAGGTAGTCCACTACAGAACAGACCCAGTCTAGGTAGTCCACTAACAGACCCAGTCTAGGTAGTCCACTAACAGACCCAGTCTAGGTAGTCCACTAACAGACCCAGTCTAGGTAGTCCATTACAGAACAGACCCAGTCTAGGTAGTCCACTACAGAACAGACCCAGTCAAGATAGTCCACTACATAACAGACCCAGTCTAGGTAGTCCACTAACAGACCCAGTCAAGGTAGTCCACTACATAACAGACCCAGTCTAGGTAGTCCACTACATAACAGACCCAGTCTAGGTAGTCCACTACAGAACAGACCCAGTCAAGGTAGTCCACTAACAGACCCAGTCTAGGTAGTCCACTAACAGACCCAGTCTAGGTAGTCCACTAACAGACCCAGTCTAGGTAGTCCACTAACAGACCCAGTCAAGGTAGTCCACTACATAACAGACCCAGTCAAGGTAGTCCACTAACAGACCCAGTCTAGGTAGTCCACTAACAGACCCAGTCTAGGTAGTCCACTAACAGACCCAGTCTAGGTAGTCCACTAACAGACCCAGTCTAGGTAGTCCACTAACAGACCCAGTCAAGGTAGTCCACTACAGAACAGACCCAGTCAAGGTAGTCCACTACAGAACAGACCCAGTCTCGGTAGTCCACTACAGAACAGACCCAGTCTAGGTAGTCCACTACATAACAGACCCAGTCTAGGTAGTCCACTACAGAACAGACCCAGTCTAGGTAGTCCACTACAGAACAGACCCAGTCTAGGTAGTCCACTACAGAACAGACCCAGTCTAGGTAGTCCACTACAGAACAGACCCAGTCTAGGTAGTCCACTAACAGACCCAGTCTAGGTAGTCCACTAACAGACCCAGTCTAGGTAGTCCACTAACAGACCCAGTCTAGGTAGTCCACTAACAGACCCAGTCAAGGTAGTCCACTACATAACAGACCCAGTCTAGGTAGTCCACTAACAGACCCAGTCAAGGTAGTCCACTACATAACAGACCCAGTCTAGGTAGTCCACTACAGAACAGACCCAGTCTAGGTAGTCCACTACAGAACAGACCCAGTCTAGGTAGTCCACTACATAACAGACCCAGTCTAGGTAGTCCACTACATAACAGACCCAGTCTAGGTAGTCCACTACATAACAGACCCAGTCTAGGTAGTCCACTACATAACAGACCCAGTCTAGGTAGTCCACTACATAACAGACCCAGTCTAGGTAGTCCACTACATAACAGACCCAGTCTAAGTAGTCCACTACAGAACAGACCCAGTCTAAGTAGTCCACTAACAGACCCAGTCAAGGTAGTCCACTAACAGACCCAGTCAAGGTAGTCCACTACAGAACAGACCCAGTCAAGGTAGTCCACTACAGAACAGACCCAGTCAAGGTAGTCCACTACATAACAGACCCAGTCTAGGTAGTCCACTACATAACAGACCCAGTCAAGGTAGTCCACTACAGAACAGACCCAGTCTAGGTAGTCCACTAACAGACCCAGTCAAGGTAGTCCACGTGCATAAAATATTGTAAAGAAAGTTTTTACACGCCTACAGTAACTTAAATTCTCCCGTCATCCTGTAGCTGTCTACCAACATCCTGGGTGGTTTACATGAGATCAGCCGCTGTGTGTCTGTCCAGAACTACCCGCGTGGCCTAGAGGTCCACACTGCTGTGGTCACCAGCAGCAACTTCAGCGAGATCCAAGCCTTCATGCCCATCCTCAAAGTGGTCATGACCATCGCCAACAAGCTGGCCGTCTGACCGCTGATCTCACACCTAGGCTAGCGTCTAGAATGAACCTTATTTCCTATAATGCACTGCTTTTGACCAGACCCTGTGGGCTCTATAAGGGCCCAATGAGCCCTGTGGGCTCTGAGGGCCCTGTGGGCTCTATGAGGGCCCTGTGGGCTCTATGAGGGCCCTGTGGGCTCTATGTGGGCTCTATAAGAGCTCTGTAGGCTCTGAGGGCCCTGTGGGCTCTATGTGGGCTCTATGAGGGCCCTGTGGGCTCTTGTCTAAAGTAGTGCACTATAAAGAGAATAGGGTGCCATTTGGGATGCACTCCAAAACACACCAAGACAAAACAACCAGACTTCAGTGTTATCATATGAATGGATCATAATGTTATGTATTATATATATTATTTCTTTTTCAGCTGTTGAAATGTGCTTTGATAAAAACATTTATCGCAGATGTTGTGGTATTCGCTGACTCATTGAAAGGTTTCTGACTTGACTGATGATGAGAAGTATTCTCTTTGTCTCTGAGAAGACCAGTTATTGTTCATGTGGTGTTTATCAACATCAAAACACCCAATATTATTTAAAAAGTAGAGTCCTTTTGCTTTTGAGGGAAAGATAGCTGATGTTAAATATATAAGTAATATATGAGGATTATTAAAATGTCATATCTTTGAGAGTGGAGAAATATGCACAATGTCTCGGAACAATGTGTGCTTGGATTCTTTGGCCTTCAGTAGTTCTAATCATGGTAACACATCCAACTAGGGGAAGACTTTGATGGAGAGAGAAAGGTTGTATTGTCCACCTTCCTACCTCATCTTTCCTTAACAAACCACACATCCAGCTGATTTTTAGAATGGTTAGGAAAAGTGAATGAATTAAAAACATTTCACTGACTTACCAGTGTGTTCTACTTACCATTGTGCCATCTCCTAGTTTGTTACGTTGTCAGGCCAAAGCACTGCAACAACTAGCTCTGATCCAGGGTGTTACGTGAGGCTTGCTGAAGCTGAGCTGTGTCAGCACCTGCCCTGGACCAGAGCTATGCAACAACAGAATGTAATTTAATGATACTTGTCAAGTTGCTGGATTTTATTATATTCAGTCTATGTTATAATCGATATAGAGCGGCCCACTGCTGCCAGCTAGCTTGTGTGATTGAGATACTGTTTGAGGCTCCCGAGTGGCGCAGTGGTTTAAGGCACTGCATCGCAGCGCTAGCTGTACCGCTAGAGATCCTGGTTCGAATCCAGACTTTGTCGTAGCCGGTCGCGACCGGGAGACCCATGGCCCAGCGTCGTCCAGGGTAGGGGAGGGAATGGCCGGCAGGGATGTAGCTCAATTGGTAGAGCATGGCGTTTGCAACGCCAGGGTTGTGTGTTCGATTCCCACGGGGGGCCAGTATGAATAATAATAATAATAATGTATGCGCTCACCAACTGCAAGTCACTCTGGATAAGAGCGTCTGCTAAATGACTGTCCTGATTGTTGACTTTTCACCCTGTTTAAAATGTCCTGGCTTCTGTAGTGTATAAACTGTAATACCCACACCACTCTAAACAGCTCTGGTGTGGTTACACTTGACATTTCGGTTGAAGAACATGTTAGTTATCGACTGAAATATGATTTATGGCAACAACAAAAAAACATGAATAAATCTCTTGAAATATTTGTGTTAATTGCAAGTGGTCCGTAAAATATACTTCCCCTATGTTTTTGTTGACGATTTCCCTGTTTGATAATGAATTAATATTTCCCCGTTTAATAATGAATTAGTAATTCCCCCTGTTTAATAATGAATTAGTATTTCCCTGTTTTAATAATGAATTAGTATTCCCCCTGTTTAATAATGAATTAGTATTCCCCCTGTTTAATAATGAATTAGTATTTCCCTGTTTAATAATGAATTAGTATTTCCCCTGTTTAATAATGAATTAGTAATTTCCCTGTTTAATAATGAATTAGTATTCTCCCCTGTTTAATAATGAATTAGTAATTTTCCCTGTTTAATAATGAATTAGTATTTTCCACTGTTTAATAATGAATTAGTATTTCCCCCTGTTTAATAAAGAATTAGTAATTCCCCTGTTTAATAATGAATGAGTAATTCCCCTGTTTAATAATGAATTAGTATTTCCCGTTTAATAATGAATTAGTATTCCCCCTGTTAATAATGAATTAGTATTCCCCCTGTTTAATAATGAATAGATACCTTTTAATAATAATTAGTATTCCCCTGTTTAATAATGAATTAGTATTCCCCCTGTTAATAATGAATTAGTATTTACCCCTTTTAATAATGAATTAGTAATTTCCCTTGTTTAATAACGAATGAGTAATTCTTCCTGTTTAATAATTAATTAGTATTCCCCCCTGTAAAATAATGAATTAGTATTTCCCTCTGGTTAATAATGAATTAGTATTTCCCCCTGTTAATAATGAATTAGTATTCCCCCCTCCCCCCTGTTTAATAATGAATTAGTATTTTCCCCTGTTTAATAATGAATTAGTATTTTCCCCTGTTTAATAATGAATTAGTAATTTCCCCTGTTTAATAATGAATTAGTATTCCCCCCTGTTTAATAATGAATTAGTAATTCCCCCTGTTTAATAATGAATTAGTATTTTCTTATTTGACCTGTTGCGTCCTATATTTTGTGTCTAGAAATGTAGAAATGAGTGGGGGGGGGGGGGGGGGGGTGCACAAAAAATGATCACACCAAAGTTGATCCATTCTATTGTTTATGTACTTAATTAATAATCTAGATGATGTAATGTGCTAATTCAAATCAAATGTTTTTGTACATTTACATTTTTACATTTTAGTCATTTAGCAGACGCTCTTATCCAGAGCGACTTACAGTTAGTGAGTGCATACATGTTTCATACTTGTAGTGTTGAACTTGAGAAAGAAACCTGAATTCCAATCTAATTGTATTTGTCACATGCTTTATAAACAACAGGTGTAGACTAACCGTGAAACGCTTCCTTAAGGGCTCTTCCAAAACAATACAAAGAGAGAGAAAATAGAGAAATAATAGAAAAGTAAAACCAGTAATACTAGATACACAATGAGGAACGATAACTTGGCTATAAACACGGGGTACCAGTACCGAGTCGATGTGCAGGGGTACAAGGTAATAACTTGGCTATATACACGGGGTACCAGTACCGAGTCGATGTGCGGGGGTTCAAGGTAATTGAGGTAGATATGTACATGTAACTAGGAATAAAGTGACAGATAATGAACAGTATCAGCAGCGTATGTGATGAGTCAAAAAGGTTAGTGCAAAAAGGGTCAATGCAGATAGTCTAGGTGAGGTTGTGAGAAGATATGTCAGATGTGGTATACTACAAATCGGGATCAATGAGTTAACCAGCTAACTTTGATAAACAAGCAAAATAAACTTGATTTTCTGGTTCATTAAGAAACCTAAGCTTAAATACGTTTTTGGTTGTTGAATCAATTAGGCCATGCCCATTTCAAGCTTTATCTCTAAAAAATAAAGTTATTTGAGAGTATTTAAGTTAGCTGGCTAACTCATTGATCTTGCTTTGTAATATACACTATACAGTTGAAGTCGGAAGTTTACATACACCTTAACCAAATACATTTAAACTCAGTTTTTCACAATTCCTGACATTTAATCCTAGTAAAAATTCACTGTCTTAGGTCAGTTAGGATCCCCACTTTATTTTAAGAATGTGAAATGTCAGAATAATAGTAGAGAGAATTATTTATTTCAGCTTTTATTTATTTCATCACATTCCCAGTGGGTCAGAAGTTTACATACACTCAATTAGTATTAGGTAGCATTGCCTTTAAATTGTTTAACTTGGGTCAAACGATTCGGGTAGCCTTCCACAAGCTTCCCACAATAAGTTGGGTGAATTTTGGCCCATTCCTCCTGACAGAGCTGGTGTAACGGAGTCAGATTTGTAGGCCTCCTTGCTCGCACACACCTTTTCAGTTCTGCAAATGTTCTATAGGATTGAGGTCAGGGCTTTGTGATGGCCACTCCAATACCTTGACTTTGTTGTCCTTAAGCCATTTTGCCACAACTTTGGAAGAATGCTTGGGGTCATTGTCCATTTGCGACCAAGCTTTAACTTCCTGACTGATGTCTTGAGATGTTGCTTCAATATCTCCACATAATTTTCCTTCCTCATGATGCCATCTATTTTGTGAAGTGCACCAGTCCCTCCTGCAGCAAAGCACCCCCACAGCATGATGCTACCACCCCCGTGCTTCACGGTTGGGATGGTGTTCTTCGGCTTGCAAGTACCCCCTTTTTCCTCCAAACATAACAATGGTCATTATGGCCAAACAGTTATATTTTTGTTTCATCAGACCAGAGGACATTTCTCAAAAAAGTAATATTTTTGTCCCCATGTGCAGTTGCAAACCGTAGTCTGGCTTTTTTATGATGGTTTTGGAGCAGTGGCTTCGTCCTTGCTGAGTGGCCTTTCAGGTTATTAATGTGCCCTTGAGCAAGGCACTTAACCCTAATTGCTCCTGTAAGTCGCTCTGGTTAAGAGCGTCTGCTAAATGACTAAAATGTAAATGTAAATGTTATGTCGATATAGGACTAGTTTTACTGTGGATATAGATACTTTTGTACCTGTTTCCTCCAGCATCTTGAAGGAAATGAATCAGGCTTCACCATCTGGCAGTCTGACGGACGAATCTGGGTTTGGCGGATGCCAGGAGAACGCGACCTGCCCGAATGCATAGTGCCAACTGTAAAGTTTGGTGGAGAAGGAATAATGGTCTGGGGCTGTTTTTCATGGTTCAGGCTAGGCCCCTTAGATCCAGTGAAGGGAAATCTCAACGCTACAGCATACAATGACATTCTAGACGATTCTGTGCTTCCAACTTTGTGTCAACAGTTTGGGAAAGGCCCTTTCCTGTTTCAGCATGATGACAATGCCCCCGTGCACAAAGCGAGGTCCATACAGAAATGGTTTGTCGAGATCGGTGTGGAAGAACATGACTGGCCTGCACAGAGCCCTGACCTCAACCCCATCGAACACCTTTGGGATGAATTGGAACGCCGACTGCGAGCCAGGCCTAATTGCCCAACATCAGTGCCGACCTCACTAATGCTCTTGTGGCTGATTGGAAGTAAGTCCCTGCAGCGATGTTCCAA